AGAGAGCAGGAAAGGAGGTGAATGGAGACAATTGTAGGGAAGAAATTGTTTCCGTCTCTTCCCGGATTGGAACCCGCGATCTTTGAATGAGAGGCAAACACCTTAACCTCTAGGCCACGAGAACCCCCTTTCTTTGTTTGATTATTTTGTTTAGAAAAACACAGATGTACTGTCTTATCAACAGCCACATATTGCATGAAAAAAAAGCAAGGCAGACGGCCACAAATGACTGAGGGCAAAAAAATGATACAGGACGAATCACCCGCACCCTCCAACCACCCACACTCTCCAACCACCCACACCCACCAATCACCCACCAACCACCCACAACCACCAGCACCCTCCAACCACCCACATTTCCCTTTAATAATCATGCTGCATGCCCCAGAAAACAAAGGAGGCTCGCTGTTGCACCTTGGAGACCCGAGTTCGGTTTCAGAGTGGGGCGAAAATTCTTATCCACTGTCTTGGTCTTTCTTGCGGGATTTGTATACCTCGGGTGGCCCTGTCACGTAGGGTCGGCAGCCCGCCTCCTAATTGACGTAAATTGTGTGGATGGAGGTATAAAAAGCACCTACATTAAGGGAAAAAAACAACCGAACAAACAAAATTAAAAACAACAAATAAGCGCCCCCCCCCCCTAAAAAAAGACGTAAAAAATACAAACAAAAACTCCAGCAAAACAAAACAATACAAAACGAAACAAAAAAAGGTAATTTAAAAAATAAATACACCTAAGGAGGGTGGTGTGTCATGAAGCAGGGGTCGCCGAAACTAGACAGGAGTGTAGGTATAAAGTAATGAGTCATCACAGCGCGAAAAATCAAAGCAATCTACTGATGCGTCCATAAATGTGGGGGGTCATAGTTTTAGGAAGTTTATTGCTTCAAAGATCATACTCAAAAAGATGGTTCACTCAACCAAAAAAAAGTGTCGGCAGAAGTCCGCCCATTGGTTCAGATGGCGCTTCAGTCTTTGATTTGAAGCTCTCTTTCGTTTCTCCAGAAGAATAAGAATAGCAGTTTGTTAGTTTCGCTTTTATGGTTTTCCACACAAGTAGGGTAACTCTGTTCGCAAAGTCCGCGCTTTTTCGAAGAGGGCGCCACCGAAATTTGTGGACACTTTTTTAATTGGCTCAAAGAGAGGAGTGAACTATCTTGCTTGTACGATCTTTGATTGCATGAAAACAGTATCGTATCAAAGAGATTTACATCTTGTTGACTGTGTTCACTGTAACAGAAATTCATTCCTGTTTTTCCATCGTTAAAATTTAATTTTATTATTTTTTAAATTAACTCTCCTGAACATGTCTTTACTTTAAAAAAAGAGTAGTGTCTGTGTGTGTGTTAATAAGCACGCGTATCTGTTTTGTTTATTTGTTTGCTTGCTAATGTTTGTTTGTGTTTGCGTGTGAATGTGTGTGTGTTTGTGAGCCTTTGTGTATTTGTGTGGGGTGCCTGCGCCCACGTGTGTGTATGTGTTTGTGTGTGTGCGTGAGTGTGTGTGTGTGTGTGTGTGTGTGTGTGTGTGTGTGTGTGGGGTTATGTGGTAAGTACCACGTCCTTACTATCCTTCAATTCTATGTTTCTGCAAACACATAGCTCAATAACGCCACACAGGAGGATCAGGAAAATATGTGGTCTAGGATGTCCGGCTAGCGTCGCTGTAAATGTAACACCCCCTCTGGACATGTACCTAATTCCTTGTCCTGTTCGCAGAACACCGGACGTGGGAGGTTGGCGGGTGCTCTGGTGTGGTTTAATGCCCTTTTTTCCTATCAAACATTATACTGTCCTTATCTCTCCTTCTTGTTTTCTGTGTTTGTTACTCCCTTGTAACATCTCTAATCTTCGGCACTTATGAACATGTAGACCTTATTGTGTTGTCGTAAGTGCCGTAAAACTCATGCTAAAACATACAAACTTAACTGCAAAATATCAACGCTAAATGTTTTAATAATGAAGCGTGGGAAAAGGACATTTTTGAAAAATAGAGTCGGAGACAAACAGGGAGGTGGGCCGGGGCGGGGGTTGAATAGACATACACTATTTTCTTTCTCACAGTTTCTGCTGTCACACACACACACACACACACACACACACACACACACACACACACACACACACACACACACACACACAGTGTGTGTGTGTGTCACACACATACAAATAACACAAGGAATAGTGTAAGAGACATTGGCAACGCCGGGCACAAATGAAGAAATATCCCAATATTTGGATTCCTTGTCTG